AAAGCCGATCCGAAGGCTCACGCGAGCCCTTATCGACAGATCCAGTCCTAACACTCCCAGAAGAGCCAGCTCGTGAAACCCTATCATCCATACCCCTTTCTAAATCAGCCATAGAAACGTACCTTAAAATGAAGTCGGTCTCGGTCGGTAGCTAGTGCTTAAGATCAACTTGTATCGGCTCGAATTTATGAGTTACGAATGTAAATCTTCTACCTTGTGATATCTGAAATATTTGTCAACTATGAAAAATTTTATTTACCCAATAAGAAGAAAAGAAATATTTCATTGTTACATTTGTTGTATATTAATAATGGGGTAGAGGGTGTCACAATTGGAGTGTCTTAAGATCTAGGTTTAATCAACTATCTTAGTTGTAATCACATTTTGCCTATAGTGGATGTCCTATGATCAAAGGTTGATCATAAAAGGCTAGATGTAACTTTATGTTAAAAGTGAGCCAGTATAAATTTTTTGTGTAAATCTTTCTTTATTTGATCATTATTTTGTTTGTATCAATTCTTCCATAAGCTTTTGAAATTTGAATTGCATGTTCTTACTTGACTAAAAATAGAGTATATGATCTTTGTATTTGATTGTTAATAAGGTTTTCTAATAATCAAGAAACTTGATTTCAAGAACTTTTTTTTTCCTAAATGGGTCAAGTAAACTTCATTTTGCAAGATTAAATTCCTTAAAGTTTTTTAAACACCAATTCAACTCTCATTTCTTTATGAGCTTTGGGACTTAACATTCTCATCCAAAGCTTTGGCCTTCATAGCTGAGACATGCCCAATAGTGTCATGAACTTCTTTGATATTTATCTTATTTTTTGTTTGTTATTTTTCCTAGTTAGTTGGTAAGTGTGGGGAATATAAAGTTAATAAATAGATAATAAGTGTGTTGGTCAGAAAAAAGAGTCCAAATATCATATTCAAAAGACTAAATGACAATTACTAGTCCAACATAAATTTTTAATTATTTGGGCAACCCATTTTTCAATGGAAAAAGTATTGCTTTAATTAATAAAAATCTTAATTTAAGCAAATAGTCAATATTTGATAGTAATTCAAGAATTAAGAAAACTTAGGGTTACGACATCAGTTGTCCCTATTCTTCCAATTCTAATTTAATTAAACTTTAATCTTGATTGTCAATTTTTTCTCTCAAGTTGCTAATCATTTTTGGTCATGAAAATTAACATTTTTCACCTTATATAATTCTTAAATTGGCCATATAGTAATTTATACAGTGCAAAACATGAAGAATACGAAGGTTGATTAAAATAATTATCCTAATTTTAAGTTTATAAAATTGTTCCGATCGTGATTTTACAGGATCATTGTATTTGAGGTATTGTCTACTTCGACATTTGTTGAACCATCACGATTTTGTCCATGAAAAGACACCTCAGTGCTTTAAGGAAGGAGAGTATTTATAAATTACTTTTACTCTCAATTTCTAAGTGATGTGAAACTTTTAGGCTTACCGAAACAAGTTTCACAGTTGAGGCTAAGGGGTAAGAGTAGCATAAGTCCTCCTTCTAACGCCAACGTTCCAATCGTAAGTCCATCGTCATCGTTAGGATTACCACATTCGAGATATTGTTTATTTTAGCACTCATTATGTCGTCATGGTTTTGTCATTAAAAAGACGCTTTGGTGAGTTAAGGAGGAAAAATATTTATAAACTACCCTTAGTCTCAATTTTTAAGTGATGTGAGACTTTTACGCATATTAGAACAAAATCAATTTGGTCATACAAGTTTCTAAATCTGACCATCTCATGGTTCCGTTAATTAAAAAATATTGGTCGTGTTATCAATCAACTATCGCAATACTCAGGTTGATCAATTCCTTGTGCAAAATTAAAATAACAAGATAATTCAATCAATTACACAAAGAGTTCAAAGTAGAATAAAATTTGGGGATCAAAAGTTCAACCTACAATGTAACCCTAACTTGTAATTTAGCTAGAAATGAGAAAAGATAAAGCACAAATTACAAGGGAAGACATTCAAAATAACAAAGGAAAAAACTTGATACAAATAGTTCCTCTATCATTAAGTCTCTGTCCTTTCTCCTAGAATTCTCTCTCTCATAAAATATTTGTATTATAAAAAAGTAAAAACAAAATACCAAACACTTAATACACATTGTTTCTATTTATAAAGTTTGGAAACTTGTAAGCCTTAACATGATTGTGCTCCTTCAACATGGTTGTGCTCACTTTTCAAGAATATGGAGACCTAAAAATTCAAGCATGTTTGTGCTAAATTTCTAGGTTGTGCTCCTTCATCATGATTGTGCTACATTTTAGCATGCTTATGCTTTTTATTTAGCATGAATGTGCTCCCATAGCATGATCATGCTCTTTATTTAACATGGGTGTGCTCCCTGGGCATGGCTATGCTCATTATTCAGCATGGGTGTGCTAGTCTTCTTTTAGAACATAATTTTTTTAATGATAACTCATTTTTTTAAATTCTTTTTTGATTCAGATACGTTGAGTTTGAGTATAAGGCTAATAAAAAAATAGTCATATTATATATATATATATATATATATATATATATATATATATGTGTATTT